GAGTTGAATTTTGCGGTTCTTGAGGTTGTCTCCTCATTTTGATCCAAAGCGCTCTATCGACGCTCTTGGAGGAACCCTCTGTATTCTGTACTAATAGTTTGGATGCATCTCCCTTGCCAACTCCTCGGCTAAACTCTTAGCGGAGTGTGACCGATCGCGTTTGGGTTCCTCGCGTCTCGCCACTTCGACGCGAATGGCCTCGTCCGACATATGAATTCTGTCTTGATAATGCTCGTCCGGAACCTTTTACTCAATACCGCACACAGGCCATTTCTGTCTGACCCGCATTCTTATCCCTACATGGAGTCCGTTATACACTGCCACATGCATGTCAGACCTGCCCGCTTTTTATCCGTTCATGAGCGTCAGGTTTTCTCACATAATGTTAATCCAGTCATATCCATTTTGTTAATCTGCTAGGAGTTTTTTCACGGATCGCTCATCATTCTTCATGACAGACTACTTATTTGATAACTGTGAATTAAGTATGGCGCAGATTCTCTCTATGTGTTGTAAAAATATATTCTTACTTGCTATGAACGGACTCCCACGGGTCATTAATCAAAGCTTATTATTATCCTAGCCATTGCGTTGTTCCGTGGACATCGCGATAGCTTTGGGCATCAGATCGGCTTCCGTTTTTAAAGATAGGTGAGATGCTGAAGTATTTCCAAACGTCCGGAAATATTGAACTTGAATAGAGAAGGGCGAATAGCTTAGACAAGAACATTTGGGCACACACCGTGTGCCTCAGAATGCATGGTGGGATTTTGTACGTTCCATAGTAGGTGTTTGATAGCTTTTTTGAAAGTTTCTTCACTAAAACAAACTTCACTAAGGGGCCGGTCTGTCATCTCGGTCGATTGGGGATCGGATCGTCATCGACTATATATGCATTCAAATAAGTTCTCTATCGGCCTGACGTTTGTTATTGACTGTCCTAATTCAGCGAGCATAATTTTGGGTCCTGACTCTCAGTGGTTATTCATTCATTTCTGAGAAAATTGAACTGTTCTTTCGGGGGGCTCTAGCACCCGGCGTTCTGCTGCTATGATCTCTTGTATTTTTAATTTAGTAAGTAGGTCGTGAGGGTTTTTTTTTTCTCCTGTTAAATTACTACAATCATTTTTAAAT